GTGGGATAGGGCAGTGTTTCTTTCTGCTGTGCATGGGGTCGCTATGAGTCGGAAACGACTCGACGGCACTTAACAACAACAACAACAACATATACAACGTCTGCTTTCTTGACTGCTGTTTCCGTAGGTATTGAGCGTGGTCCAAGTAAATGAAATCTTTGACAACTTCAATCTTTTCTCCATTTATTGTGATGTTGCTTATTGGTCCAGTTGTGAGAATTTTTGTTTTCTTTATATGTTGATGTGCAACTTGTCAATTAGCAGCTGTTATAGATTGAGAATGTATCCCCCAAACACTATGTGTCAGCTTGGCTAGGCCATGGTTTTCAGTGATTTGTCAGTTATGTGATGATGTAATCTGGCAGTTATGTAATGATATAATTGCCCCATAATTTGGATCAGACTCATAGCGACCCCTCCTTGAGTTTCCTAGGGAAGTAGATTGCCCAATCTTCTTTCCAAGGAGTGGCTGGTGAGTTTGAACTGCCAGTCTTCTGGTTAGCAGCCACATGATGTAATCTGATGTGATTATTCTCAATTTGTGATGTGTACTAAATCCTGCCTTCTATAGTTAATGAATCAGGATTAGATAATGTTAATAAGGATATTTATGTTAATCAGGTGGGATAGGGTGGGATGCATCTGATCAGGTGGTCACAGCCCTGATCAGACGTAAGAGGAATTTCCCTGGGGTGTGGCCTGTATCACTTTTTATCTTACAAGAGATAAATGGAGATAGAAGGGAACAGAGAAGGAGGGACCTTCATACCATCAAGAAAGAAAAGCTGGAACAGAGCATGTCCTTTGGACCCAGGGCTCCTGAGTTGAGAAATTCCTAGACCCCAGGAAGACTGACGTCAAGACACATGGAGATCTCCAAGCAATGTTGAGCCCACAATGCTGAAAGGAAATAAGGACCTTCCTCCTGAACTATGAGCTGAGAGAGAGAGAAAGCCATCTCCTAGAGCTGGTGCCCTTAATTTGGACTTCTAGCCTCCTAAACAGGAGCTCTGGTAGTGCAGTGCCTAAGGCACTTGACTGCTAACCAGAAGGCTGGGGGTTCAAACACACCAGCCACTCCTCTGAAGGAAGGTTGCGCAATTTACGTCCGTAGTGATACCACACTGGAAACCCAAAGAGGGGTCGCTATGAGTTGGGTCCAACTCAATGGCACATAACAACAATAACAGCCTCCTAAACTGTGAGAAAATAAATTTCTGTTTGTTAAAGCCATCACTTTTGTTATTTGTTATAGCAGCACTAGATAACACAGACAGCAGTCAAGCACGTTAAACACCTGCACCAGGTGAAGGAATGTACTTTTAATATTGGGGGAAGCACAGCTATAACAACTGTAGCCTAAATTGTCTGTAGGTGTTTAAAAATAGAGCTATTTCAACAGTTGTTGTTATGTGCCGTTGAGTTTCAACAGTAGAAGGTTTAATTATTGGGTTATTCAAGTACATGTGGCCATTTCAAGGCAAATCCACTTATGTGAAAAATACTTTAAAAAGTTGGCTTTTATGGCCTTCTGATATCACCTACAGATTGACAGTTAAGGTAGGTGCTTCAGATGTGCTAAGAAACAGCCAGCTGAGCAGACAATCCCAATCAAATGTGCAGGAAATCAGTCATTAAGACTGTGAGCCAGGAAGGATTAATGGGCCTTTTATTTCTTCTGCTATAGGCTCCTTTTTTTGGGGGGGGATTTGGGTGAAAGTTTACAGATGCTATCGGCTTCTTGAATGAGATTATATAGTTTAAATTAAAAGTTTTATTTTAAATAATAAAACTAATTGACACTATAGTCAAATCAGTGGTCACAAGTATATCCCACAATATCTACACAAACTAAGGTTCCTTGGGAGTTCATTCTCCCCATATGGGCTGAATTAGGAAATAAAGATTCAAATTCCTCTTAAGACCAGAATTGGGAAAGGTAGGAGGCTTTAAAGGCTGAACAGTGAACGTCTGAGTATCAGTGGTTTCTCAAATCTCAAATTTTTGCCAACATTTGACAAAAACAAAAACTTGATGGTGAGAGTTATTTCAAGCCATTCCCATATTCAAATGCAGAGAACATTGTAATTTGGAGAATTTCTTGGGGGTAGAAAGGCTCAAACTTTCTAACTTGTGGTTTCATTCATCTCAATCTATAAAATGGATCTCTAAAAGCCTATTTAAGCATAGGCACTGAAACAAGGCGGGCTTGTGCTTACTCACTGATCTGCACTGAACACGTTCCCTTGTTACCCTACCGAGAGGGACCAGGTCTTCG